AATAAATTAATAAAAATATGTATTACTATTTACTTGAAAGGCAGAGAAAGAGAATCTTTCATCTGTTGGTTCACTTGTCAAATGGCTAGAATAGCCAAGCCTGAAACATGCCAAAGCCAGCAGCCAGGAACTCCATCTAGGTTTCTCATGTGGGTGGGAGGGGGTCCAAGCACTTGTATCATCTTCCACTGCTTTCCTAAGCATATTAGCAGGGAGCTGGAGTGGAAGGGAAGCAATGTTCCAACAAGGATGTCAGTGTTGTAGGTGCTGGCTTAACATGCTGTGTTACAATGCTGGCCCCCCTAATAAATAATTTCACAGGGATTTGAACTCAGTGAGCTGGATTAGAAAACTGTTACCTCCCATTCTCTAATCAATAGGAGGGTGGAACCAGAATCACAGGTAGATAAAGGCGATTTCTGCCTCAAGGCAACTTCTGCTTGGTACCCTTTTCTAACAATTTGGACTTTCTACAGTCGAGGTATTCTGGTTCAGAAGCAGGAATTTCTCCTATGATTGATTAAAAAATAGGTGCTGGAAAAGATTCCTGCATTTGATGGAAAGTTGGGGGACACTAAGCCCTTTTCAAAACTAACCTATGATCCCTAGATCACTGGCAAGCAGTTCTGAGCTCTCCTTTCTTCTGTTTACTCTTTTCAGATTTGGCCACAGCTCACTGTCACGGCAAAGGCTGAGGGATTTGAAAACCCCTTGTTATAATTAGGCAACCTCCTCAGCAAAGGAGTCTTAACTAGTAATAGTCTTTCGTTGGCTTTCAGGGACAAAACTTGTTGAAAGGAGGAGAGAGAGCACACCCTATGGAGGATAAAATCAGAGCCGGGCTGACCAATTCCAACATGACCAATTCCATCATGATTGTCATTAATCCTGGGGGACCTGGTGTGGTATGCGGAGATTACTGAGGTGCAGAAAGAGGCAGGGCACGATGGAGAGGGAAGTGTGGACACTTTTCTAGCTTCATTGAGGTGCATTTTCACAGGTTTACATAGTTTCAGGGGTTGAGAAATTAAAGGCAATTACTGAAATTTTGAAGCCTTCTGTTCCTCAGTTCACAAGCATTGTCATACAAGTCCCATTCTTGTCCTTTCTATACAGATGAGAAGCCTTTGGCTTAGGGAAGTAGGGAATCTGTCTAATATTCCATGGTGCATAACATCTAGAGCCAGAATGAGCACGGGTTTGATTCCAAGGCTAAAGGAACCATTTTTTTTTTTTTTAGTACACACACACAAACACACATACATTCCTCCCCTATTAATATGTATAATTTGAGTAACTGAACATGAGTCTATTGAGTTAGTTTACATATAAGAATTCTGCCAAGTTTAGATGAATATTTAAAAAGAATTCAAGCTTAAAAAAGTATTTTTTATTTTATGAAAATCAGTCTAAAACAAAAAGAAAAATAGATATCAAACAACTCTTCCCAGCCTTAAGCACACAACGAGTCAAGGAGAACTTTTCTTTTCCTCTTGGGTACCATACACAATGCTGGTAGCCCAGTGGAATTGCTATTGCAATTGTTGATCCTGGGACATCTTTATGGCTCAGGGTGGTCAGAGAAAAGTGTGACTAACAAGGCAGAAGTATAAACTTGACCTCTACTATCAGAGATCCCCTACCAATAGCGGACCTCTGACCCTGAATCACTGGACCATTCCAGTGATTGAATTGATGGCAATTCATCACTTACTTCCCTGAACTATTAATGAAATATTATATTGTCATGTAATTCTGTTTCCACTCCTCCAAATGCCCGACAATATCCTATTTCTGATCTCCCACAGTCCCTAGACAAATTGTCATAGTATTTGATTCTTTTTCCCTCTTTGGAATGAAAGAGCAATGCCCAGTGTTCTTTTAACAGTTTTTTTGTACTTAGAATTGTAAAAGTAAACACTGTTTTTATGCCATCTGTTTAGAAGCTTTTGGCTTTTCCAAATACAGTCAGTACCTCAATTTTCAATGGATCTTTTTTCCCAAAGTTATTTTGTATATCAGTTTTTAGAACTCTTAAAAATAATATATGCATTGCATTGGGTTTTTTCCAAATCAAACTACAAGGAGATATTCAGCCCATCACATATGCGGAATAAAATGATCCTTTAAAAGCCGGCGCCGTGGCTCAATAGGCTAATCCTCCACCTTGCGGCGCCGGCACACCGGGTTCTAGTCCCGGTTGGGGCGCCGGATTCTGTCCCGGTTGCCCCTCTTCCAGGCCAGCTCTCTGCTATGGCCAGGGAGTGCAGTGGAGGATGGCCCAGGTGCTTGGGCCCTGCACCCCATGGGAGACCAGGAAAAAGCACCTGGCTCCTGGCTCCTGCCAGGATCAGCGCGGTGCGCCGGCTGCAGCGGCGGCCATTGGAGGGTGAACCAACGGCAAAGGAAGACCTTTCTCTCTCTGTCTCTCTCTCTCACTGTCCACTCTGCCTGTCAAAAAAAAAAAAAAAAAAAAATGATCCTTTAAGCCATCGTGAAACCAAATGTTCACACATAACATAGTCACCACAGGAAAGAGCGGATTTGCAGGCGAATGTGGCTCTGCCTGAGGGTGGATTGGGAGGCTCCTCTCTTCAGTTCCCTAGTTGTGAATCTGGATGAGACTACCAGAATACGCTGTGAGGCTGAGGGAGTTGAATCCTTGGCCTTGAGACAATGAGTTTGCTTGATGGGATCAAAGGTGAGGAGGGAATAAGTAGGGGCATCCTGAGGACTTCTCAGCATTGTGGAGGGGAAAGCCTGCACATGTTGAGTTGTTCCTCTCCTTGCTCATTAGCTGCTGCTGAAGGAAAGAAAAGGGCATAGAAGGAGCTGGCTGTGGGATGCTTACAGTTGTAACCAGGTGCAGTTGCTTCCCCCACAACTCTGGCTTTGAATCTGCGGTGCAGGGTAATGAGCACTGGAGGAGGGAGCTGTTCCTGAGGCCTAACCATGGAGAAAGGTCTTCCTGCACACCTCCCTCCATATTCACACTACTCTCCCCTCCACTGTAACGTGATGGGGGTAGGAGGGAGAAGAGCATTCGGGGACTGGATTGGGATATGGAAAAACCTAAACATCTATACGTTTGGAGCAGCAAGAAGAAAAGAAGAGAGGAAAGGAAAATGCTAGCAGAGGAGTGTGTGGAAAACAGATTAAAGTGCTACCTTGTCTGTAAAATAGAAGGCAAACCCCAAATTAAGACCCTCAAATCCAGTCTTATTAAACAAATGCCATTTTATTTTCAGAGAAAGGCATGTTTTTAAACCTTAATGATGAAATCCAGCTGTGGGATTTCTGTGGATAGTACCAACTCATATGTGTCAACTTTGTAACCATTTAAAGGTAAGGAGGCTCTGAGAACATTCAGTTCCTATTAGGAGGGGCCAGACTGCACTCTTCTATGTGTCTCAATGCCAACAATCTTCTCTTTGGCCTGCCTCTCTCTCCTTGCTTCCCACTCTGCAAGGTACAGAGATGTGGGAGAGTTGGGTCTGCCTACCAGAACCCCAGGAAGTGTGAAAGCAGTGGTTGTAGGAGCCATGCAGAGAGGGCAGGAAGCAGGGTCCTGGCAGCGCAGGGCAGCAAGAATCCAAAGAGGGACCTCCCCTGGGTCTTTAAGCATGCAGCCTAAATGGAAGAAGAGTCGGGAAGGAAAAGGGCTGACTGCACTTACAGCTCTCACCTGCTGCATCAAGCGCCTGTGATGGTGAGCTCTGTCAGCCCCGACTGAAGTCAGCAGTGAAACACCCCACATGCATAGTTATCTTTCATTCTCTTCCACAAGCAGGGTCTGAGCTATGCTTTTGGACCCAGAAAAACATTCTGAATAAAGTTTTGACAAATACTTCCCTGAGTTCCTAATAGCATTTCATTTATACACGTCATTCTGAGGTAAAATAAAATCTTTCATTAACAGGGATGGAGACAAAACCCAGTAAGAAGATTCACAAAAATTTTAAAAGGATGGATTATTTCAAGCCAGGAGTGGGGAATTAACAATAAACACTTAAGTTGTGTTCAACATTTCTTCAGGGCAGGATTCCTCCCCCATGGGGAAACAGTCATGCCAGAAAGTAAAATAGTAGCTTCTTTGTGGGCTTCCTTCTCATTGTTTTAGTGGCATAGTTGGGCACAACTGAAAGGGGAAATTCCAAAACATCCAACTCCAGTGGCTTCCTGTTTATCCTAAGTTAACTTTTTGGAAGATAGGGAGGGAAGGTGGAAGAGCCTGTTGCAAGGGCCCTACCACAGCTAGGGTCAAATCAATGAACTCGCAGACAGGCGGGCAGAGCAGACTTTGCAGAGACAAACAGGCCTCTCTCAAGTCCTTCCCCCTGTAAAAGCGGGCAGGAGTCAGAGGGTTGAGCTTTTGGGATGGGATGGAGGCTGGGACAGGTGCAGCCTTCTCTGGGTAGAGGAAATGTGGTATCAAGAGGGCTTCACCGTAACCCAATAATAACCGACATTTGGTGCTGTCCAGGGCACCGGGTGAAAAGTGGGAGGCAGGAAGCAGAAAGGCTCAAGCTCCTTTCCGTGAGCCGGTTCAGGAATTTAATTTCAGCCAATGTTGATTTGGGCACAGTGTTAAGTCTGGGATTTCAAGCTGAATGAAAAGTGTGAATCAACGTGGCCTTGTCCTTCAAGCGCTCACAGCTGAGTCAAATGGCTTTAGCACTCCTCGCGGGCTCTTAGAGCTTTTGTCTGGCAGTTATTAGGCGATTCTGGCACCTAAATTCATCCACGCTGTTCTAAAGTCTGCAACACAGAGAAAGAAGGCACTGGACGGGGGTGGAGGAGGAATGACGCGGGGCTGGTGCCAGACGTGGGAGCGGTAGTGGTGCTGCCTGCGGGCAAGAGGCAGCCAAACTCGGCCCCCGCAGTGGCACCCTCCGGCTTGGCCCCTGCACAACCAGCTTGGGCAGTCCCAGCAGCTGGCCCTGCCACGCTGGGGCAAAGTCTAGGTCCCGCTTGGGCGAAACTGCGCGCCCGGCGCCCGCAGCCAGGGGGCAGAGTCCCCAGCCCCTGCTCTGCCAGCCACCTGGTGGCTCAGTTCCCACAGCTCTGGACCGGGTTGCTCCTTCTTCCTGGTCCTCTCGGCCTCCCGAGTCTCTGCTGAGCTCAACTCTGCACGCCTGCCTCCCCCGCCGCGGGAGACAGACCAGAGGCCGGCGGGACAAGCGGGTGGAGGCGCGGCAGGGAAGGCGGTGCGCGGGCGGAGACTGGAGCGGGGAATACAAGGGGCGCCGCGGCCCCGCCTCCACTCCCACCCCTCCATCCCCAGAACCCAGGGAACGCGGGAGCATGAACCAAACCCCGCAGCGCTGGCATGATGACATTCGCCCGCCTCGTGGTGGCTCTGATTTTAGGGGCCCTCTCAGAAGTGGCCAGCTTTGATCCGGTCCTCGGGTATCCCCTCCACCGCCGCCACCGCCCTCGGTCCCCTCTGGATCCCCAGGACACGTATTTCCTTCCTGATCAGCGGCAGCAACAGAGCACGCCTCCGCCACCCCTGGTCCCGCGCCCCCCGAGGGCGCTGCTGGCCCCGCGCCTACACGCCCTCCAAGCTGGGCACACGCCCCGGCCCCATCCTGGGGGCTGCCCCGCCAGCCAGTCGTGGGTCAACGTGACGGACTTCGGCGCCCCATGTCTGCGCTGGGCAGAGGTGCCACCTTTCCTGGAGCGGTCGCCCCCCGCGGGCTGGGTTCACCTGCGAGGACAGCGCCACAACTTTTGCCGGAGCCCAGATGGCGCGGGCAGCCCCTGGTGTTTCTATGGAAACGTCCACGGCAAAGTGGACTGGGGCTACTGCGACTGCAGATACGGTGAGTGGGCTCTGGGCAGGTGCGGCCAGGTGTCGGGACTAGCAGGGAGCTAGCCCTGCATGAGTGGGCATGGAGGTCTCTTGGAGAGGGAGGGGATGTGGGGGTTAGGTTTGCACGGAGGGGTGTGAGGGAGCTGCCACCCAGTTACCAGTAAAGTGGGTAGTGTAAGTTCAAATCGGAAAGGCTGCTTGGTGTGAAGTTGTCAGGGGTGACGGTTTCTATGCTGGGTGCTTGGCTCTGAGTTCCTGGATGTAGTTTGTCTTCTGGTCACTAAGAGTGTGTGTGTGGATGTGTGTGCTCACACACGTGTGTATGCATATGTGAGCATGCATTGTGTGATTGTATGTGCGTTGCCTGTACATTATCTAGATCTCTAACTTGCTCTGAGAGTGTTACTGTATTTATATAAAAGAGAGTGCAAAAGAAAACAGTTAACTACTTGTTTTGGAAAGTGAACTATTGAATCTAATGACAATCAATAATCTTTCCTTCTTCCTGTAGACCCTGGTTTTGGAAAAATGTGGTAGCTTATTTGTTTGAATCTCACTCTTGAACTCTATGTGAGATATAATCCCCAGGCCAAATACAGTGATACATCCTGGGACACTGTATGTTATCATTGAGAAGGAAGGGAAAGGCAAAAGGAATAGTAGCTCTTTGTACAGAAGCAACTAGATTTATCAAATGCAGTTTTCAAGAATGCCATTGTTTAGCTGAAAATGTTTATTTGTGGGAAATCCAGACTATTTGGTAACACCCCATAAAGTTGATCATGTGTCTTGGGTTTGTGGTAATATAAGCATCACATTAATAAATGTAATATCACATCACTATCTTTGAACAGTGCTTCATTTGGGATTGTGGTTTTGTTTAAAATTAGAGCTATCCCTTTTGTTTAACAACTAGGGAAGAAAGACTTTATGTCCTTCAAAGTTTGAATTTCCCTTCAAAAACAATTTTTGGCCGCTCTCCAAATGGGCTGTGGGGCAGGCATTTTGTGCATTGGGATCCTGAAACACGTTGTGCTTTGTACCTCCTGGAGGTAATTTAGAGGTAACCTTTCAGAGTGTCATTCTTTTCCTACAGAGATTTTATTTATCTGTGCCTTCAATTGCATTCGTGCTTTGAGTTAAAGGAAAATGATAGGAAGGTTAAGATCAATTATCCTTCATCCTAGAGAATGAAGTCATCGCTCTACTGGTGTTTCATGGACAGAATGCCAATGTGGCTATAAAAAATTTGAGGTGATATCAAACAAAGAGCCCTAGCATTATTTCACTATTTACTGTAAGAGATTGCAGTAAAATTTCATGTTTAGCTCACATTCACACTGACCTTTCTTTTATTATGCTTAGCTTTATGTATAGTTAAAGGTGAAATATTAAGGAATAAATATATAGTAAAGGATATATGATTTCTTCCTTAAATACTAACACATAAAAAACAAATTTACAGTGTAAAACAATTATAGTGATCTATTGCTGTCTGACACATTTTTCGGCTTTATATTCCAAAAAAGGAGAATAGCTTGTTCTTGTTTTCCCTGCTACTTTACTTACTTTGAATAGAAATTTAAATCTTTGCAATGCCTTTATGCTCATAACTAACTTAGCAGACAAAACCCCAAACACTTCACAGTAGCCTTGTACTTCCTGGAATAAAGTGAATGAACATGAGAGAAACAGAAGAAACCATCCAAGATGGAAGGTAAATGCTCTCCCTATCACCACAGAGTAGAAAACAACAGGCTAAGTAATAATTGAATTATTTTATCAGGCTCATTGTTTTTAAAAATCGGGTTGATTTATTTGAAAGGCAGAAAGAGAGAGAGAAACAAACTTCCGTTTGATGGTTCGGTTCCAAAAAGGCTCAGCCTGGCCAAAGATAGGAGATTGGAGCTCCATCTGGGTCTCCCACATGGGTGGCAGAGACCCAAGTACTTGGGCCATCTTTTGCTGCTTTCCCAAGTGCATTAGCAAGAAGCTAGATTAGAAGTGGAGTTACTAGGACTCCAACAGCACTTAGATGGGCTGCCAGCCTTGCTGGCAGTGGCTTAACCTGGCCCCTAAACAGATTCAATCTTGATGACGCCAGCTTCCCATTCTTCATTTACTCCTTCAGGTTGCCTTGGGCAAACTCACATCTTTGAGATAAATGCTGTAGTCTAAATCATTCGGTACTTCTGTTCCTACATCTCATTTAAGGAAGTAAGCAAAAGTATCATGGAATGGTGAACTTATTGAATTGTGCTTTAGAATACTGGTGTCTGTTTGGCCTCTGCCAGTAGCTATGCAATGTTGGGTAAGACCCTTTTACAACTTTGACTTTCTCACCTGGAGAAAAGCAGGTTTTGAATAGATTATTCAAAGGACTTTTCCAGTTCTGAGCATGCACATAAAGGATGTGGAGCCTTGCTCTGTGCTGGATGATGGACTGAGCATTTCTTGTGCATTTTCTCATTTGAGTCTCACAGCAGCCTGATAAGGGAGTTCCTAAATTGTAATGATGAAAATACCAGAAGGCATATTATGAAGGGTACAGGAGAAAACAGGGTTGAATGTATAGATCTTCACAGCTCATTTTCTTCTAATTTTTTACTTACATACACATGAAGAAATAGCTTGGCTGGGTAGGAATCCTCATTTTCTAGCTGAGAATTAGTCTAAAGGAAGAGAGAAAGGTATAATGATCATGATTTCCAGTGTCTTAGACTTTACAATTTCTCATTTTTTTTATTTTACAAAAAACAGGCATAAGAACAATTTATAGTAATGACATCACACCATAATAAAATAAACCAGCAGCTGGAATTATGCATTTGGCTGTGTTGAGAGAAATGAGGAAGTTGGTGTTTCTGGGTGGAGAATTGGTGGAAGCCCCACTGAAGGGTCAGGGTGGGGATCTCAGGTGAGTCAGGGCAGGGTGCAGATGTTCTAGAGGCTCGCATGTCAGAGGAGAAAAGGTGATGCCTGGGCCCTGGTTTCACAAAACTTTCATGTCAGTGATAACCAGTCTAGGCAGTGGCATGGCCTGAATCAGCCAAAGAAGGACATTTTCATAAAGCATTGAAATCCCCTAAATGCAAAGATTCCTGGGACCTGGGACTAGCCTCAGAGACTGAGTAATTCTCAGCTCTGGATCAGGAATGGAACATGCATTTCTTTCTTTTTTTTTTTTTTTAAGATTTATTATTTATTTGAAAGTCAGAATTACATAGAGGCGGAGGTCTTTCATTTGCTGGTTCACTCCTCAAATGGCAGCAATAGCCAGAGCTGGGCCAATCCAAAGCCAGGAAGCAGGAGCTTCTTCAGGATCTCCCACTTGGGTGCAAGGGCCCAAGAACTTGGGCCATCTGCCACTGCTTTCCCAGGCCATAGCAGAGAGCTGGATCGAAGGTAGAGCAGCCAGGCACCTTTATGGAATGCCTGCTCTGCAGGCAGCGGCTTTACCCACTATGACACAGCGCCAACACCTGGAGCATGCATTTCTGATGAGCAGGCAGGTGATTTGGAAGCTGAAAACTCTATATCATAGTCAGGGGAAACCAATGAGAGGGCCTGAAAGCCACCTATAAATGGTGGTGGTGCTGATGATGGAAACTACTGAGCCCAGCTTCCTGTGACAGCCTTAGCAGTAGGCTCAAGAGCAAGGGAAAGCACGCCGATGTAGCTTTTTGTGCGGTTTAAGAAAATGGCTCCACTGGGTGCTATTGACAAGTTGCGGTGATTACAACAGTCTAGTACTTATGAATGTACTTATGAAATGAACGTGAACCAGTTAGTTTTTTTTGGTTGTTTTTTCCAGATTTCCACAAGAAGAATTAACATTTCCCCCGGCAGTACTTTGCAACACGTTAGTGCTTTCTGACAAGGAAGGGCAATCACTTTTCCAGTCTTGAGGTGGTGTGCTAGATGGGGCAACTTGCCTGACACTGTGCTAGGGACTTGCTTTTTTATAAGCTTCTGAGTGGAATTCAACCATAGGTGGCTGATGACCAATATGTGACACAGGTAGAACAAATGACAAAGCGTAACAATTAAGATTTTTGCAGGTGAGGATGACTCATAGATCCGGCTTTTTGTTGTGTCTTGCTAATCTGTTCATATTTACCTACCCACCCCAAAACTCTTGACTCAAATAGAGACAGCAGACAGGTGGATCTAGCATTGTTGTTTATAGGTCTCTTTGTAGTCCATCTGTTGTTTGAAGAGAATCCTAATTCAGACAGCAGCAGACCACCTTCCTTTTTAAAACACAGTGTCTTGATTCTATGTAGCAGATGTTGAAAAACATTTATTAGCACTTCTAGCTTTTACGTATTTTCTGGTTGGATTTTAAATCTTGAGTTCAATCTGTTTTCAGAAAAAGATAGTCGCAAAATACTTAAAATTGGGACGTTTTCTGGCTCTTAAACAGCGTGAAGATTATTTTTAAGAAGAAAATAAGATATCTAATTTGTATTGCTCTTCATAAACTATTGCCCAGGACTGTATATACTTGTTTAGTCACTGCCATGTGTGTGTATTAAGGTAACCTTTGTAAAAGTAATTTGACTTATAATGGTGAGGGCAGGCTGAAATATCCAGCAGTGAGGTACTACTCACAGGTACCTTCATTTGATAATGTGGTGGATTTAATGCAGCTGCTAACATAATAGGTATAGACTTTATAAAGATGTGAAAATGATCGTGATCATATTAAAGGGAAAAGATGGATGCAGAATGTTATGAGTGAAGATAACAATGCTTGTGGATAGTTTGGAAGATAAAACAAATGATAATTATGAATCTGAGTATGGGAATGGCTGTGGCTTGATCACTTTGGTGTTGATGGCAGTGAATAGACACCCAAGTTCAAAATTACTGAAACAGTAAGGAGGCAGGTTGTCTATCTACCCATCTAGTGAGCGGCCTCCAACACTGTACAGTTCTGTTCCTCTGCAGTTCCTTTGGCTCCTCTTCTTTCTCATTAGTCTGGTAGTTACACTAGACTTCACCTAG